ACTCTAAAATAAATAAATTTTTAATTTCATATAATATTTGTTTTTTTTCATACCGAGCGATTTGTTCACGACAATTTTCACTTTTATGTTTACATAATTGTACTAAAACAGGAATAATTCCAGCTTCAACTAATTTTCGTCGACGTTCATCAAAAAATATTTTTTCATCCTATATATATTAAATCACATTATATTCATTTTAATTATCTTTCTTTTTAATTTACTTTTGGATGTTCTTTCGGTATATGTTGTTTAGCATAAGCAGCTAATTCAACCATTTCTTTATCTGGTTTTCTAATATCATATGTATTAGTTAAATTAACAAATATTGTTGTTATCGAATATAAAACATGTGCATCTTGACATTGACATAAAGTAAAAAGTGCTTTTAATGCTGATAGATTATTAACAAGTTCTTCTTTAACATCAGCATCTAATGATAAATAAGCCAGACCATCAGCTGACCAACGACGAATATCAAAACTTTGACTTGTTGTTAAAAACCTGAAAAAAAAAACTCAAGACGATATAAAATCAAAACAAAAAAAATTCTTCTTTCAATATACTTGCAACATGCACGACTAAGTGTTTGACATGAACCTTCGGCAACAAGACTTGTACTTGTATCTGTACCTTTACTTGATGCAATTTTTGATAAACCCTAAAAAATTTCGAAATAAAATTAAAACATATAAATCAAATATATATATATTTATATATATCATACCACAAGAGCAAGTACTTTAATATCTTCATTTGTTGATCGATAGAGATTTTTAAGAATATCAGCACCTTGTTGTATAATACCAGCTGCTTTATCTTTCTTTGATGCTGATAAAACAATTGCTTCAACTGCAATACGCTATTCAAAATAACCAAAAATTGAATTATAAAACAAAAAAAAAACAAATTTTCAAATTACTTCTTGTATTGGATCATTTGAACCAGCCATTTGTATCATTAAATCTACTAAATTTTCACTACCTAAGATTGCATTACCAATATCAAAAGGACCTTGTAAAAGAACAGACAAAACGGATATTGTTCGTACGCGTGATTGAATATCATCCTTTTCACGTAAAGCTCTAAAAGTAATAAAGCATTTATTTGTAAATTTTTGGCCGATATAATAGAATCTTTATATTTAAGATAAAAGTCGAATAGAACGAACATTTTTCCAAAAAAACATGCTCACGAAAGAAAGACTCCAAATATAAATTATTAATCGAGTTCTTCGTTCGCTTAATTTTTCAGGACTCATTGAGATTAGAAAAACCCTTGGAGAATTCGTCCTTGCTGAAGTCAAAGCTATTTTACTAGCTTTTCGACTTTTAGTCATGATAAATAACATATGTAAATATTTTTTTTTCTTAAAAATATTGAAATATAATTATTATGCTGAAAATTCGAGTCTTGTTGTTTTTTTTTTAAAAAGAAAATGATAAAAGTCAATCCAAAAATAAAAGTACAGTTTTTATTCGCTTATATAGTTAACATTCAAATAAACTTACTTAATAAATTCTATACATTCATTATTAAATTCTTCTCGTTCTTTATCTGAACATAAATCATGATAAACAACACTAAGTACACAAGAAATATGCATTTTAGTTTGTTCTGTTATTGAATATGATTTTTTATCATTATCTGGTAAATTAGGTACCGTAGCTGCTACGCGAAGTACTTTGGGTACACCTATTAAAATAGAAAAAATAAATAAATGAATATTCATATTGCACTTGCAAGTACTCAGTTGAAAATCGGTTAACTCGAGAACAGCTATTCTTATCCAGCCGCAGTTTTTAAAGATAGAAAAAAAGGAACACGCAAGTTACTACTGCATATAGAATTCCATACGATTTAATCACTTATCAGATTCGCTGGAAAAAAAAACAGATTATTTTCAATAGCCACTGAAGTTTATTCGTTTTTTTTTTTTATTGAATATTTTCAATTTAATGTAAATAAATACCTGAGACAATAAATTTACTAATCCAATTACAACCATTTGCTCGATCCACAAATTTAGCAACAAGATCAAGACAACAATCACGACCAATAGCTGAACATGTTTTATCATCAATTAATTCATTGAGTAAACGAAATATATTATTAATAAATTCAATTACAGATTGATCTAGATTTAAAAAAAAAAAAACAGAATGACTATTGAATACTAACAGAAAACAAATTAAATTAAATACCAAAGTTAAAAGGTACATTTATAGGTTTTTGAATTTTTCGACGATTTTCAAGATCACATATTGACATAATCATATTATGAACTAATATAGCTGTACTTGCAGGAATTTCTGTATCATTCATTGCTAAACAACGAGCAAATAATTGAAGACCAAGTTTATTATAAATGGTTTCAGCCTAGAAAAAAAAAGAAGACAATATGTATATATATTTTTATTTGATAGACTTTTTCAATAAGAGACTTTCTTACATAAATTATGATTAAACAATGATAAGTTTTGAAAACGCAATTGTTAATAAATAAATGAGAATACAACTTCTCTTTCAAAAAGATGGAATATTAGATTTTTAAACATAATATATCAATCTATTTTTCCGTATAGTGTAAGATCAATTTTGTAGTACCACTCTCTAAGCAACTTGAAAATTACTTTTAAGGTCGGACTCTGTACATAAACTAGACTCTAGTGAGACATTAAAAACTACAGAAAGATATGAGCGCACCTAGAACTATCTATTGACATAATTTCAATAAAAATGGCTATAAATATATATTAAAGATCTACAAGTCCTTATTCTTCTAGAGTTTCCAATACTTTACTGAGGTCTACTTTATGCACACAGTTCAAATTCAAAAGTAATATTCACGTTGGGAAGATTTCCGCGTAAGTACCTTTGAATGATAGTATATTCTTTGTCTTCTTTCATTTTAAGAAACAAATACATAACATAGAATGCTGAAGAAAAAGCTGTCAGTTGAATTTCTCAGAAATTAAAATGTGAAATACGACATAACTATTCAATTTTTGATCTCATACACTATACGTCTATGTAGAATAAATCGATTTTGAATTTCAAAATGATAAATACAATATCCTCTTATATATAATTCTTACTCGTTGATATGAATTTCTGACAATTGAAGCCAATACTCGGATAAAACCAAGAACAATAATTCGTTCATTTGTTTGAATAAATTCTTTTATTTGTCGTAGATCACAATCATAAGTAAGAATTCCTTCTGCACCAGCATCTTCACGTGATATAACAAGAAGATTATTTAACGCCTGAACAAAAGAAAAAGTTCCAATAATTAATTAACGACATATCTTATATATACATACAGTTTCTTGATTAGATTTTATATTCATAATTTCAAACATTTGTTGAATTTGAGATGTTAATTGTGTTTGTTGAGTATGCTTTAGAAAATGAAAGAAGAATTTGAGAAAAAAAAGAAGTCTACAAATTAAAATTCATTTATACTTTGCTTTGTGCACTTTCACGTAATTTTCTTAAAAGAATATTTGTTTGTTCACTACCTTTTGATGATATTGATATTAAACGTTGTGCATCTGATATAGCTTCATGTAATTTTCCTAAATGTTCAAATGCAGTTGATCGACGATATAAAGATTTTTGATCAGCAGGTGTATATTCAAGTGCTTAAAATTTTAAAAGACATAAGAAGAAAAAAAAAATCAACACTAAAACAATATTTTTACCTCGTGTAGCATCTTCAATAGCATCTTCATATTGATTTAAATTAATATAACATTGTGAACGATTACTATAACATTTTGTTAATTCAGTTTTTATTCTTTCAGATAATGAAAGATTAATTAATAGATTTAATGCTTCAGTATATTGATCAATGGCATCTTGATATTTACCTTGTTTAAATGCTTGATTACCTTGTTCACGAAGATCTTCAGGATTAATATTATTAGAATTTGTAGTCATATTTTCTATCTGAAATTAGAAAATTAAAAAAAATCTATTAAACAATTTTTACTATGAGATAGATTATTATTTTGACATGTTACATATTTTATTTTATTTTCTGAAAATACTATAGACTTTTAACGTTATAAATCAAATTGAATGTCATTCATATTAAATAATATGATATTTATATTAGAAATAGAAACAAAAAAATGTATGATTCATAAGTGAATCACAAAAATTCGAATGACTAAGGATTTTGTACATTATTGAAATAAATGAATGATACGAAAAATTGAGTTATGATCAAAAAACTAAATGTTTAATAGATTTTGTTCTTACGTTTTTTTTTTGATATTCAAATTAGTAAGTAGTTATTATTAGGATTGAGATCTATAATTCTATATCGATTTTAGATTGAAACTATTCGACTTTCTATGTTAAATATAGTAGTATTGATTAGTCAAATAATAATATGATAGATAAGATTTGATATAATGATTTTGTAGGCAATATTGATATTAAGACAAAAATGATTAGACACACAAAAGATGACTAATAATATTTCAAGACAAACTGACAAAAAAAAAAACGTGTTTAATTTAAAAACAGCAAAATCGATATTTTCTATCGATTAGTATTGATTTCTATATTATCTAATAGGAAATTCTTATTGAATACAATACTGAATAGAAATTTATTGATTTATTTTCATCTTTTTAAAATTTTTTTTGAATTTAATAATTTAATCTCACCTATGTTAATTCATATATCCAATTGTTAATCCATTAGTCGAATGTTATAAATATTATTCTTCAATATATTGTCTTGATTTCGATTCATTTTATCTACCCATGTAAAGACATTTGCCTATTTCAAACATTTCTAAAGTGATAATCTCTTTTTTATTCGTTATTTTTTTGTTTGTTCGGTATACAACTTACGCATGATTTCATCATCTAGATGGAAAATATCACACATTATTTCGTCATTGATTATTCAACTTTTTGTTTTCTTTCTTCTATCGGAAATAGAAAAATTTATGTATTTAACATTGTTTAGAAAACATTCAAAAAGAAAAAAAATTTATAAAACTAATTGAAACAAACAATAATTAAAAATCCATTGAATGTTCTTTGATCAATTTTTCTATTATCTTAGCATAATTCTTTAATGATACAAACGAACAAATTAATTTGTTTTTGTATTATTAAATAAATAAAAAGATAAAGTTCTCGTTAATAATACTTCGAATGTTATTATTTTCTATTCAAAAAATTTCTTATTGTTTATATATTTCGATTCTTAACAATAGATACTAAACAAACTATCAAAAGAAAATATTTAACCTTTAAAAACAATCTATTATATGGATTCGAGCTAATTGACTAGCATTATAGAAAAGCACGTTTTTTGTTAAACTTTTTTCTCCGGCCATCTTAGAACTTAGGAAAATATACTAAACAGAAATATTATTATTTTTAGAAATGATCGATCACAACAAATCTATTAAATATAAAATCATTGATGTAATGATATACTTTCGAGTTAAATTTTGATGTAATAATGAAAAATTGATGCTAATTCATCAATACTTTAAATATATTTTTATAGCTATTAAAATGCTTTATCTTTAGTAGAACTTTCTCGGACTCGGTTGGTTCAAATTTTAAAATTTTGAATACGATTTGACTCTAATCATCTGAGATATGTATAGATTAAGCTTATTACTGAATAGAAATGAACCCAAAAAACAAAAAATATCTCGTATCTTCGGAGAAACTATTCAATTCCGATTAGAAATTTTCACTAAGTGAGTTCGAATCTGAAAATTTTTATCTGATGAACTCTAATATACAGCATATGATTGATTATTACAAAATCTGTATGATAGATCTTTTATGCAAAATATCTAGAATATTGATATTGTATGAGTAAAAATTCAATAAGAATTTAAATTATTAATTAATAACAAACTCATTAAAGCTAAATAAAATTTAGTTTCAATATTGAACATATTAAGATATAAATTAAATAATCTAAAATACGAGTTTGTTCATAGAATGTACACATTGAAATGTTTAAATTTCAAGATATTTATAGTTTTAATATATATATATAATTAAAAAGCAATTTTACAATAGTTAGAATTTTGTATCTAAATTCTATAATACAAAGTTCTTGTTTTCTTTTTTTCCTGCCATCTATCATCTTAAAATTGCCGAAGAAGAATTCTTAAAAACTTAACAATAAATACTTTTAAACAATTAGTTTATATTTTTGAACACTTACTATCAAAGATGATAATGATGATTGAAGTAAAGAAGAATAAATAATAAATAAAATCAAATAACCAATCAGAATAATGAAACATCAAATAAACATATTCAATAATTTTCAATTTTCAATGGCTATATCATTTACATTTATTAATGATATTATTCGTGATTATTTTCAATATCGTAATTTAACATCAACATCACGTATATTTGATAATGAATTATCAAAATTATCATTAGAACAATATCGTGCTGATCATATTATTAAACAATTAACATTTTATATTTATCAATTTGATATAAATAATTTAATTGATTATTGGACACAAATTGAACAACAATTTTTATCAACATTAACAATTAATATAGAACAAATAATGAATATATTTATAAAAATTCGTATTAATTTATATCGTTGTTATTTAATACATGCAATTAAATTATCTAAAATAGATAAAATTAATGAATTTTTTGAACGTTTAATAAAATTTTTACAACAAACAAATGAATGGACGAAAGAATGGTTTATATTACCATATATTAATAATCCTGATAATAATTCTCTATTTCAAATTTATTTTTCTAAACAATGGAATGAACTTTTTTGGATTTCATTACAAAATTTTTTATCTCTAGCACTCTATAAGTAAATCTAACATTCAAAAAAAAAAGCAAACACAATATAATATCTTTATTTTATTTTTGTTTCTATAGTATGACACGACCTAAAATTTGTTCAATCGAAGAAGAAGATGATAATTTTCAATCATTCGGAAATTTAATTTGTCTACAATCAACAACAACAAAGCCTCTAATTCTATCAACTACTGTAAGTACTTAGGGTAAACCAAAAGTTCGTAGAACGGTTTTAAAGAACCAAGGTAATCTATTCAGAAATGAGAAACCAAATATACCATGTTGTAGAGCTTTTTGAGACACGTCGAATGGTATATAATAAATCCTGTTTTCATAAGACTTTGAATCAATTTACTGATAGACGACTACGCATCCATACTCACACCCTCACCTAAGTATGATAGGTTACTGAATATTGTGATCCTTGGGATTAGTCGAAAGTATTTGTAAAATATTTTTTCTCATATACGATTTTGCAGTTTTTGACGGACTACAACTCCATATATGTAGCATCTCCGGTCATCTTGTCAGTGTGGGTGTGTAGTCGTCTATCAGTAAATTGACTCTAGTTCTTTCAAAGTCTTATGAAAACAGGATTTATTATATACCATTCGACGCGTCTCAAAAAGCTCTACAACATGGTATATTTGGTTTTTCATTTCTGAATAGGTTATCTTATCCGACAAGGTCCGTTAAACACAGTTCTACGAACTTTTGGTTTATCCTAAGTATAATAACTTTGGAATTGAATATTTCAAATAAGATTATAAATCAACTGAAGAAATACGAATCATTTCCAATAGAAAATCGAATGGAAGTTAAACGTTATATTCTAATTTCTTAGGGTTTTTTTTTCCAATGAGAAATAGCTGAAAAATCATTGAAAGAATTTAGAATACTTTGTATAATGAACGAATATTTCTAAGTACTAAATGAATTTTCAGTCGAGACTATGTGCATTATGTAGATCATAATGAATTGTGAATATTTCTATATGAACTACTTTTTTTGTTTAATATGGGATGAAAGTATCATGAAGAAATGCGTCCTAGAATAATCTTATTGTGATAAACAACAGCACGTGTTTTACATTTTAATATCGAAAAGATTGTGCTAATCATGTTTTTTTTTCGTAGAATTTTGTGGTCTCTTTAAGAATATTAGAAAAGTAAAATTTGGATTTGAAACTTTACATAGAGATAGACTTTAATAAGAATAGTTTATTTTGAAAATTTCAACTTTTTTTAATGTCTCCTATTTTGGAACACAAAAAAAACAAAAATATAAATTTGTCGTGAGTATATAACTGCTATAAAAACAACGTACATTTATCATAGGAGTATTTCAGCATAGGAATAATAAAATAATCTAAAACTTTCTCGTTAAGGTTTAATTTTCAAATCGAAATTCGAAACTCAGTCGTCTTAGTATTTTCAAAAAGAACCAGGATATAGTACTAATTGGATTCTTGGAATTCCAAAAAACAGAAAATTCTAGCATCTTTCGTATCATATAAGTGATTTTCTGTAGATTCTCAAAATCTCAGGTCGAAACGTCATCATCATTGAAATTATTGGTAGATGTCAAGTCTGAGAGTGCTTATTATTTCTTTTTTTGAAGCTTTTGCATATCTCATTGAAGTCTATTTTACTCACAGTGTCCGAGTTCAAAAACGATTGATCAGTTGAAAATGTTCTCTCGTTAGATATAGCCTAATGTATTCCTGTTTTTTTAATCAATAGAATTCTTTTTGTTTAATTATTCAACTTGATACACGTCTATTGATTGAAAACAAAAAAATTGTTTTTGTTATTAAAATTTATATTTGATATATTTGATGATTATTTTAAATAGAATATTAATTCATCGAAGATACAATCAACGGGAATATTCGATAATGAACAATTATCTTCTACTGAACAATGTAACCAATCAAATTTAACAATAATATCTAAATTGCGAAATAAATCTTTATCAAGTATCAAACAAAATCAAACAACAACAACATCACAAAGATCATTGTCGACTTGTTCGAAATCTTTTTTTATCGAGCCATTGAAAGAATCTACAATAGAAAATTCAATACTATCATTAAGAGATGATTTAACAACTTCACAACCATCATCATCATCATTAAGATCAAAATCATCCTCATTTACGTAAAATAGGTCATTTACATTAAGAGAATTGGACTCAATTTAAAAAAAAAACGAAAGGTTATGTTAATAATGCAACGAAGTAATAAAATTAATTATATTGATAGTTCGATCATTGACAATAGAATTCAATGTAGAATCATACATTTGATAGACATAAACTACTAGTCAAACAAATTAGATTATAACAAATCAAGTTGTATATATAATAAAAAAAAAACACACAGTACTTTTATAGTTCTATTCTCATGAAATTGATCTGTTAAATTCTGATTACTTAAATACAAGTAAATCATCGAACTTTTGCGTTTTATTGGTTTTTCATTGTTAATAAAGATACAGATGTTTAATTTTCATTATGAATAAATTTTTTCTTTTCAATAAATATATTCGATGAGATTATATTCATATATATAAATTGGTATAAACGAAAAAGTTGTGAGCACGATTGTGTATTATATGTGTCCTCAATTATTTTGAATATGTTTAAATTCAAGAAAAGTCTTAAATCAGAATATCGTTGAAAGTATAACTATTTTTAATGTTCATATTGGTCGATTGATGTTGATGATGAAACCATTCATGCCAGAAATAACAACATGATGTTTTAAATTGGATACGAGTTGAGAATGTGTCAAAACAAAATCTAGAGTTAAATATATTTTAGAGAAGCAATTAGAGGTGTAAGCCGTACAGCTGAGCAGCCGCTACGGACGAAAGTATTTGATAATAATATGAGGCACCGCCGCCGTTGATATCGATACATATGCGATCGGTCATCTTTTAGGAGCAAAAACTTTTCTTTTTGGTTGTCGAAGTCGCCGCCGGTGCCACTATAGAAAAAAAATTTACAATTAAAGCCGTCGCCGCCAGTGTAAAAAAAATATAAAGTTCAATAGGCGCCGCCGCTATGGAAAAAAGTTTGAGCATTAAAGCCGATGCCGTTGTCTGATCCTTCGGCTTACATCGCTAGAAGCATTTACACAACATTGAACTTCATCGATAATTTTTGTAGCCTAAAGAACGCTCTTTCTAATCGTGTATTGGCAATTAAATTTGATCTTGCTTCTGTTAAGAGAAACTGAATCATTCGGTTATTCCCACTATGTCGCCCTTTTGCAACGGTAAAAAAAACAGTCGCTTTGTAATACTTGTATAATTAGTTTAGAAGTTTTATAAATTGTACGTTGTCGTAAACAATGGTACTCGATATAAGCCATGCAAAGAATGAGTGAGAATTAATAATGGTTGTCTGATGACTAGATAACAATTTACTCTTGCCAGTATTCTTTTCTTCAAACTTACTCTGTAGTATATAGTTCCGTTAGCTGATTTGTGCAGCTGTTTTAAACTTATTGTCACCACCAGTATGTTTTAGTTTTCATGAAAAATCTACCTGTAAATCGCTGGAATAAATTTATAAACGATCGACTTCGGATAATGCTGATGCGTGAAGTTTTTGAAAAGCATTTGATTTATATAATAAACATTTTTCTATTTGATTCATGCATGTAAATGCTAAAAGTAACTTAAAGTTTGTGGGGTGTGGGTGTGAGTGTGCGTGGGTGTCTGCGTAGACTTAGAAGAATACACCCACACTCACACCCACACCCTATCCACACTCACACCCCACCCACACCCCCCACCCAATCCAGATCGTATCAAATAATTTTTATTTTTCAAGTACTTTTCACGAGAATGATACAACCTATTTTATATTAATATAGAGATTAAAAAAAAATTAATTATACTGAAAATAAAACAATATACATGATATAAAAAGTAATATTTATGAATAATTCATTCTACGAATACATTTAATAAAAATTTTTAAATAGAAAAATATCATTGAATAGATTTAATTATGAATAAATATTACTAATAGAATATTCTTCGATTTCTTCTTGCTTTTCTTCATCAATCAAATAGGATTCTTTTACATCTTCTAATACTCAACCAACGTTCTTCACCAAAGAAAAGAAACAAGATTCTTCCATAAATTTCAAGTATAAGACAAAACATACGTTACTCATATATATGAACGATTGTCTTGTTTTTCTATTTGTTTCTATATGATGAATGCTGATCGATAATGTAATCAAATGATCTAAGTCATTTATATATGGTTCCAACTCAATTAAACCTAATACACAAATCATTTACAATCGTCATTTTCTATAATTATATGTTAATCTATATCGGTGAGTAGGCTCTAGTTAGAATAGATAGACATCACTTTAAGAATAGAAGATTATAGACTCGTCACCCAAAATTTGTTCTACACAAATCTTTCCTGATAATGAAGATCTTTTTTTTTGGATATCAGTAGTACAATGAAATATATGTTAATAAAAAAGAACCTTGAATATCGACAAAGAAAAACAAGAATATTGAAAGAATAGACACAAGATGTCCATTAACTTTTCATTATTGTCCTTAGTTTTGGACATCATTGCTGTCTTTGGGTGTGAGTGAGACTATCCATAGAAAATTACAAAAAAACCGATACTTTTATGTATTCAAGGGATTCATGGATGTGATGCAGGCTTCTAAATACTCTTTTTATCCACATTAAAATATCAGTTTTCAAGATGGTAGTATGAAGATATACAATATTAAAAAAAAGATAGCAGTGTTTTCATAACAGAATTGAAGTATAACTGAATATGTCTTTGATTTTTATGACTTCTCATGAGGAAATATTAATATATTGTTATCAATACGTATTTATATTGCTTTTTTTCCTAGACAAGTGTCAGGATCTATATTATTTGGATTCTTGACATTGGTTTTTATGTCATATTGTGAAGAAAATGGAGAAGAAATTCTTTTTTTCTGTTGAATGTTTGACTTATTTTCATTTTCGGACTAGCACGACCGGACGAATGAAAATGATGGTTGCTATTCGTGAATGTCGGTATACAATCAAGAGCAGAAAGATTATAGTCCTTTTTTCGATGATGTTCAAAATTCGATGAACAAAATTATTCCCGATATCGAATCTCTTAGCAAATTGTAGCTATCACAGAACTACTTGTTTGTCCTATATAGATTCTTGTACTTCAAGTCAGTATATTCTTGTAAGGACTGATGCAGACTATCTTTATAAGCTTTTGTTGAGAATAGTTGATTATTTGCTGTTTTGTACTAGAGAAATTCGGGTATCACATTTCGTATGCGACATGTTGTCGAAAAATTGAAAGTCGAGATGTATATTCTCCTTTGTGACGAAGAGTTTCTTAACACTTCTGTACATATGTGGAATGAAACGCTCATACTACTATCTGATATCTAAATCAGCATGAAATACTATAATGAATTAAGTCTTGAGCAATGAACAACTGTGTACATGAAGTAATATCACTTGATTTTAACTTTTCTATTTGCAATTTGACTTATTTATTCGATTATCTTGAACAAGCTGACAATCAAACTAGATGGTATCTGAGCTATGTTTAAAGTGCGAGAACGACGTAAAGCATCTTTGTATTTGGATTAATGATTATTTAAATACGTTGTAATGACCATCGAATGATGTTCTGTTCTCGAAATCATCGCGTCATAAACAATGGACTTTGCATGCATACGGTCGTGTTATTTATATTTTTAATTCATACTTAATGGCTTATATAGAATAAACTAGAAGGTATGCGAACGAGATTCACCCTTATTGATCTCAAATGTTTGATAGTAAAAAGAGTATATCACGTTTGTTTCTCTTTCATTTCTTCGTTCTATAGAAGCCATTGCGTACACATTGATAAAGTATGTATATGTTGATTATTTTATTATTGTGTGATTGTGAATTTGCTGAAAATAATCGAATAAAATAGTCAAAATACTCAATGAAAAAGTTTAAATCAGTAGTATTGCTTCATCTACTCACATACTTCAATAGCTGAAATACCACACATAATCCCAATACTCATTGCCGCTCATACCTATACACAATACTTCTATACATAGTTCGATGTTCTATTATATGCGAATGTCTATATCACACATACTCTTATACCGCGATGAGAATCTCAATCGAACGTTTTTTTTTTGAGAGGTCAGATTTTGAATGTCATTCAAACACATCAACCAACGATTAAAAGATCGTTGATAATGAATGTTAGAAATAGGTAGTAAATCGGAACGAATATTGTCGCAGTAGGAAAAAAACAACCAGTTCAACACCATTTCTTCCATCACAAGTACAGAATCAACGAAAAATAGTGCAAATCAGTATTTATGCCTTATTTTGCCTTCCATCTACATCGTAAAAAATAAAAATCATCTTGAGATATGACTTATTTCGTTCCAGTTCGTCCACACTAGCTCAGAAAAGATGTCTCAAGCAATCTTAATATGTTCTGTTGTAGCGAATGTACAACGCAGTCAGGAAAGGATAACTATTTTGGTTATTTATTTATTTGTTTTTCTACATTATATTGCAGCATAAGAGTAAAGTTCAAAAAGAATAAAAGTACGTAAGAATCCAATTCCGTTTACTCAAAATTTATACTGAAAACTAGTCAGGTCTAGGTCAAAAATCACACTAAATCGTTTGGTAACCTTTTGAAGTAAAATAGAAGGAAAAATATGCATTTTTATTCAATAATAAGAAAGAAATTATCAAAATTTCTGTAATTTATATAAGTTCAATAGTTGCAACGCAGCATAAAGCAGCTACTTTTAGAAGGTGTGGAATCTCGCATATGTCGGTAATTAGGACATTTCGGAAGTAGCAAAACTTATGGAAAATCTGAATATGGTTGAACTACTACAGACTATTAAAGCGACACAACAGTATTTTATGTTGTAACAAAAAGAAAGCTTTCTTGACTAGAAAAAATCCACCTCAAACCATTAGATGACAAGAATACAAATAAAGATAACAAGTTGTAGGACAAGAAAAATGCGTATTTTTCCACCATTGAATCCTTAGTATACGTTTACTTATTATAAAAGAGCCGACAATATCGGCTTGGTTCATTTAATTTACTTATAGTAATGTGATAG